AAATGTTTTTTAAAGCATAAGAATATATAAACATACCCTCCATTAGCTAGCAGGGTTGTGAATGTCTTCCCATGTCAGTTAAACTCTAATGTATCTTCATGCAATTGAAGAGAAAAAGACAAATGATGTCTTAGTACTATTATGGAAGGGGCAGTGGTGGATCAATGGGGAGCAGGTTCAGTTCTCAGCCTACCACCATCTGTTGTCTGTCAGTGGAGGCTTGCCTGATAACTATGATGCGGAACAGGTTCCAGCAGAGCTTCTAGCAGGAAGAGAAATAGAATCTCATCATCTGAAATTCTAGTCATCTTGCACGTTTCCAGGAAAGGATGGGATTTTGATAGTAAGGGATGCCTGCGATAGGTCTGCACCTTATAAATAATACTCATACATTTGACCAGAGTTGTTATGTTGGTTTGTTTTTTCTTTGAAGTCTTGCCATCCTTGCTTCTAAGGAGCTTTCTGGCTTTACTTCTTTTTGTTTTTTTACTTCATTTTTATAAATGAAGTAAATTTATAATAGTTTTATTGGCATATAATTCACATATCATACAGTGTAATAGTTTAATCATATTAAGAGTTATGCAACCATCACCACAATCAATTTCAGAACATTTTTTTCTTGTACTCATTTTTGCTAGCTGCTCATTTTCCTCCACCCATCCCTGCCATGCCCCTAGGTAATTATTAATCCATTTACTATCTCCATAGATTTACCAATCCTGGATTTCTCATACAGAAAATCATACAAAGCACAAACTAACAACCACAACAAAGACCAAAAAACCCTCAATAGAAAAGAAAGTAGAAAATATTAAAAATAGGTCAAAAGGGAGATTAAATGATGAAAGTATTATATTTTAACCGAGTTACATCTGCCATATCCGGCTTTATAGTGCTCCCTGTCTGATAACAAGGCTTTTCACATCCCTGCACTATGTTCACAGTGGATTCACCAGAGGCTTTATCCATGTGGGGACCTTGCAACTGGATTTTGGGCTTCCACTGTCATCCATAAACCAAAAAACCACACTCCCTGCCATCCAATCGTGACCTGATAGTGACTCATAGTGACCTGATAGCTGTCTGCAGACTGCCTGTTCATAATTTAAGCTCTGATATATTCCTCCTTTGGATTTTGGCCAGAGTTGATTTTAAGGAGGGGGACTGCTGTTCAGTACTGAGCTTCTTTCTCTGTTGAATCCTTATGAGGAAGGTGTGTGTGTGTGTGTGTGTGTGTGTGTGTGTGTGTGTGTGTGTAAAGAGGAAATCACCCTATAGTCTGTGTGATTACCTTTCTGGCCTATACTTTTCTCTGTAAAAGTCTTAGATTCTAAAAGTAGCTAAGAGCCGTAGCACCATGCTGTAGTGTAAGTATGAGGTGGTCAATTGAATGTACACTATCAGTGTGAAGCCAGCTTCTGCTCACCAGCCTCCATGGGAACCAGCGATATGCTTCGGGCATTTAAAACACACATTTGTGGATCTTAGGACTCTTTTCGAATAGTCAAAAACTATGAACCTTAAAAGGGAGTGCAATGGTCTTTTAAGTCATTCAGGGTAGGGTGACATTTTAAACCCCATATGAGGGAGCTTCAGAGAGTTTGTAGAAAAAGTGAATGAACAGATAATGAGATTTTCCCATAAACTTGAAGCCCTCTTATCTATCTTCTTTTGGCTACACTCTTTAGCACGCTTTCCCACTCCCCAGGTCTGAAGTCACCATGCAACACTGCTACTCCTGGGACTCTCAGATCCCGTAGGTATATGGAGGCAGAAGAAAGGTTGAGCATCACCGGTGTATATTTTTAAAACTCCCGCCCTCCCAACATAAAAATTCCAAAGCTGCTTTTCTTGATAATGAAGAAGCTTTTTCTTTGGGTTGAAAGGCATTCTGTGTGTGTTTTCTCTGTGCAGGTACGTGAGCTTTGTGCACAGAGGCTGCTGGTGCTGTGGTCTGACTATTCAGTAGCAGAGCTGCTTGGGCGAAGTTCCAGCTTTTGATTTGCTTACAGTCAAGTGGAGGAGACAAGTCAGTGATTGTAGTACGGCCACTGAAATATTCTAAAAGACGTGAGTTATTTGGTTATAAGTCAGCCTGGGAGAGGGACAAATGAGGCAGTGCTTTAAGAGGTGCCTCTCAAAAAGCTACACAATGTTGGTCAAGTGGATGGGGAGGTCCATTCCAGCTACAAGGGCTGCAATCCCATTCGCTTTTAGCTCCCATTTTCCCACGAACTTTCTGAAGCCCCCTCTTTTGAGTGGCGTAAAATTGTAAACTACACAAAAGGCCACCTCGAGTAACTTTCACTTTTATCCTTACCTTTGGATAGTGATTCTTGTGTATTTTTTCTCCCTCCCTGGCCCTGTAACTGAATGGCTGTTTGCGATGTATAAAGGAGCTATGGTGGCCTACTGGGATATGTGCTGGGCTGCTAACTACAAGGTCAGCAGTTCAAACACACCCGTCAGCCACTCTGTTAGAGAAAGAAGAGGTCAGTGCCGTGTTCATTTTAGATGTCCTGACTGATGGAACAGAGGTTGACCTGCTGCAGGTACTTTTCCAAATCACACACATCTTGATTTTAGTTTCATTAACAATTAGTTGCTGTGAAGCAGGCAAACATGGTGTTATAAAAGTACAGTTTTGTCAGTTTCCTGACTGACAGGGTGCAGTCTAACCACTTTCCTCTAGTTTATTTTAGAGGAAAGCATTTGAGTTCTCATCTCTGACAGGTTTCCATCCTACATTGGTCTCCACGGTCACAGAATTCACTAAATTAGCTTTCTTTGAATATCCCGGCATGCTTGAAGACAGTGTTTTAAAAGCTGCACTTGGTCATGTTCTTCTGGAGACTAAGAAAAGAGAGTCCTTGAAGTCAAGCTGGCTCTGCTTCTAGTCTCCAAAATGAAAAGGTAGATAGAACAGGTCTTGTGAACGAAATATATTCAAGACTTACATATCTACCAACAGCAACTTGACACTTCCCACCATCGTCCTACTCCAGGAAACAGGAATAGTCGGTTTATAGATGAGAAAGCGGGGAGGAAGACTTAAGGAGCCTATGAAAATCTGACTGTACTCATTGCCAGAAAGGGGACTAGAAATTGGAGAAATCTTTTGGTATAGGGAGGAGGAGACCTTTCCTCCCGCAGAGCCCAGGAAGGTTTTCTGGCAGCTAAGTTCTTGGAAAGACATGGCTGCCTACTCCCTCCCATAAAGAGTGACAGTCTCAGAAACTCACAGGGGCCGTTGAACCCTGTACCACAGGTTGTGATGCGTCAGTTGTTGACTCAATGCCTGTAGAGAGGAAGGCCACATCACAGTAACTTGTGCTGTGTGCACCTCGCAGTGTGTGAATTGTGTAAGATTAGGAGTTTAACCAAAGGAGACAGCAGTATTAAGAAAAGGGCCCCAGTGCCCATGCCTTTGGATAGTGATTTTTGTATCTTCCTTCTCCCTCCCTGGCCTTCACCCCCTTAATTGAATGGGTGTTTGGGTTGTGAAAAGGAGCTCCAGTGGTATAGTGACTTAGGTGTTGGGCTGTTAATCACAGGGTCAGCAGTTCAAACACACCAGTCTCTCTGCTAGAGCACGATGAGGTCCGCGTCCAGGCTTTATACTAATGACAATTTTTTTATTATGTTGAAAGTGTACATAACAAAACTTGCCATCTCAACAGTTTCTACATTAAACACTTTTTCAAATAAAAGATAATTAGATTTTTATCAGAAACCAATGTCGTTTTATATTCCGTCTCTAACCAGCTTTCTAATAAGGCCTGCCCCGCTTTTTTAAGGAACTTTTGAATGTTCTGTTACGATGTTTATATTAAGATTTAATTGCTTTTGCACCTTTGTCAAAAATAAATTTGGCGTATTTATGTGGGTCTATTTCTGGGTTTTCCATTTTGTTGCCATTGATTCGTTTATCGGTCGGTACCATATTGTTGTAGTTACTGTAACTATTGAGTATGCCTGAACAGCAGTTAGAGTGATTTGCTTTACCAAAGAGTTCAGGACCTACTTACCTGGCAGCAGTAATTGGATACTTCCCATCATCTTATTATTGAAAAATGGGACTCGTAAGTTTATAGGTGCAAAAGGGTGGAGAGAGACACAGGGAACTCATGGAATACGTCTCTAACTGACCTGCCTGCTTTCCTCTTTGCTAACACGGCAAGCTGAAGCTTCCTATGTGCCCGAGTCATTTGAGCTATAAAGCAGTACAGCTAGGGCTAAGAAATGAACAGATTTGGTATGTTTTGTTTTTACTGTGTAGTACCAGAGAGTTAGCAAGAACTCTTAGTCATATAAATAACCATGTATGGCTCCAATGGTCTTTTTTAATTAAAACTTTTTTTCTGTTTTGTTTTTTAACAGATGTATCTGCAGGTTGCAACTGGACGTGGCCTCGAGGTAAATCCAGCCCCTCGTTGAAATTTTGTTTCAGCAGATCATTCATAATATTCTAAGGAATTGGAATATTTTCCAGAAAAGCGAAAGTTTTGTGTAGTTCTGGTTTGAAATTATTTTTTTTCCTGTTTATAGCAGAAAGGTGCTTAAGCAAAGGTTCTTTCTGCTGAATTATGATGATGCTGGCATGTAGTCATCCGCCTTATTTAATCAAGTGGGTTATAGTTTTAAATTTAGTGGATTTTAATGCCAAAGCCAATTCTAGATCAAAGCCAATTCTAGAACCGTTTCCCTTGGTTGAATAAAATTTTATTAAAACCATATTGTTGTTGAGTTTTTAGTGCATTTATTATGCCTCCTACAGTTAGAACTTTTTGTGTATGTTAGTAGTTAAAGACACAAACTGACAAGTCATATGTCGATAGTGTTCTGTGGGGAAATGTCAAGCTTTCCTTATTAACTCGTGGCTGTGGAGTCCATTCCAACTCATAGCAACTCTTAGGACACCATAGACCTGCTTCGATAGACCTGCTCATAAGGTGTCTGACACTGACTCTTGACAGTAGACTGTCCAACTGCTGCGTTTAAGTCAGTCACTGCCCATGTTTAGTACTTAACCCACTGCACCACCAGGGCCCTTAGAAAGCCTGACAGAACTCTGAATTCAAACCTGCTATAGTTATATCACATTTCCTGCTTTGCAGTTTCTACCTCAAACACTGGGACCACTTTTGTTTACATTTTATTCTGAGAGCACTTTTGAGTGCTCTTAAAGCTTAATTGCTTATAACTTTCACCGTTTCTGTTATACTTTCCTTATTTTAGAGTAAGTGTAAGTGATTTAGCTTGACAGGGCAAGATTGTGTGTGTGTGTGTAAGTAAAACAAGCTTACAAGATTGTTGAATGAGTTGTAAAGTCAATAGTATGAGCTTTTTTTTTTCTGGTAGGCAAAGCTGTGACACAGTATATGAGAGGTACACAGTGTGCCAAACTTGGAGTGTTCTAGAGAACATGAAATTTTAAAGGAAAAATGGATTTCATCTCACAAAACTGGGAGTGGTAAGAATAGAGGGGATCTGTGCTTGGGGAGGCATAGCTGGGGCATGTCACTAAATCGTGTCTCGATAATTCATCAGTGGAGTCCTTTGTTCTACAGCCTGACTCAGAGGTGACCTCTTAACTGTGAGAGCTGGACGTAGCACCTGGAGAAGTGGAGAAGCAACAGTGCAGCTGATGGGGCTGGGCAGTGGGGTCCAGGATGCCAGCAAGCTAGAGACCACTGCTCTCCGAAGTGGCTTGCTTTGCACGCTGGTGAGCTGATGTTTGTTTGCTATATGTCACAGACTGTTACACACACTCACCGTCTATCGTCCAGTCTCCTTATCCTGTGAGACAAAGGCTATTCTTCCTTCTGTACAAAGGGAAGCAGAAGCTCTGGAAGAATGTGGCTTTTCCAAAGTCATAAAGCACAGTGGCGGCAATGACCTAATTAAATCCAACTCTGGATTTCAGATCTGCTTGTCTTTATGTTAGAGCACAGTTCCAAGAATCAGTTGCAACAAATGTCTTCTACTTTTCCCCTTCTGTCCCCCGCTAGGAACCCTGGTGGGTAGTGGGTAATGGCTTGGGCTGCTAGCCGCAAAGCCAGCATTGGAAACCACCAGCTGCTCTGTGGGAGGAAGAGAAGGCTGTCTGCTCCCACGAAGACTTACAGCCTTGGAAACCTCCAGGGGCAGTTCTGCTCTGTCTAGTAGAGGGTCGGTCAATATGAGTTAGAATCAGCTTGATGACAGATTTTGTTTTCTGAACCCCCCCTCCCCACTCCCATGGTGAAGTTCCACACTCGCGTAGTGCTCCATTTCCTAATCCCAGAGATGCTGGCTGCTTCCTTTGGGTTTTTCTCCATTCCTTGGCTGTAGTTTTGAAAGAGCACCATAATCCCTCATGTGGAAAGAGCAGTGAGTGGCTGATGTGAAGAAGGGACTCGTTTATTCAAGTCTACCTGAGGATCCAGTGATGTACAAGGCACACTGCCCCTGCTTTCCTGGAGCTAGGCATTATAGAAGTAACGATAAAATCACAGGAGTCCAAGTGCTATGAAGGAGAGGGCTGGGTGTTTTTAAAGAGCGTACCTTAGGGGAACCTCAATCCCGCCTCTGGGGAAAGAAGAGAGTAGGTCATGGAGTCCTGGTGACACAGCACTTAACTGTTGGGCTGCCAGCCTAAAGGTCAGCGGTGGGAACCCACCAGCTGCTCCTTGAGAAACATGTGGCAGCGTGCTTTGGCAGAGATGACAGTTGTAGGAGCCCAAGGGGCAATTCTACAGGAATTGACTCCACAGTAATGGCAAAGCCACAGAGAAGGGACATGGCTTTCCGGGTCCTCTCTGTGGGCACCCTCTTGCCTGCTTAAGCCTGTTCTTGACTAATCCTACAAGAATGACTGCCCAGTCTGTCTCCCCCAACCAAAGCTCTGTGGGCCTGGAGACTAGATAGGTGCCGATGCTCTCAACAATTTGTCAACTTGAAGGATTGTTGAGTTCATTTAGTCTGCTTCTTCATCTTAATAGCTGGGACAGGTAATGACTAACCTAGTATCACACAGGTCATAATGTGCAGGACCCAAATCCATCCATCTGCCAAATATCAATGAGGCCGAAGTGGGCCAGGCATAGTGCTTGGGTGTGTACCTTTCACCAGCTGAGGTGGGAGTGACTGGGAATGGGTAGGTCCTGACAAGAGGCAGGAAGCTGAGCCTCAGAATAGTCTAATAGAAGGCGACATGCTTGGGCATTGAAATGCCGTTGTGGATCTTTAGAGACCCTGACTTTCCCAAAGAAAACCACGGGTGCACAAAGTGGTGAAGCTGACAATTGAATGTGTACAGATGTTGAGAAATGTCCACGTTGAAAAATGACAATTTGGAATTTTCGTAGTCTAACAGAACACCAATCCTCCTTGGGGAGATTGTTATTCTTATATCTGGAGTCATCTTGTTGTGTAGAAATTCATACTTATGCCTGTAAATCAAATGTTGATAGAACAGATGTTCAGACCTCCTGTAAGCAGTCAACTTATAGGACATTTCACATTAGTTTTATTCAAATACTCCTCTGTGCTAGTTTCTTTCATGAACTGACTCCCCAGATAGCAGGGCATACCCAACACTCCCCTCTCGAACATTTGTCTTAAGAAATTCTCATTTTAAAACGATTTGTTCTTGAGTGATTTCTTAGCCTAAGAAACTTACATAGTGTATTAGAAACTCAGATTGCATCAAGATTGGCAGAGAATTAGATAAGTTTTAAACATTTGGATTCCAAAGTCGTTTGTAATGAAGACATTGGAAACAGGCAAACTGAACAAATGTATCTCTTAGAGTAGGTGATGCTGTGTATAAGCTCCCTTAAGACGACCAGTTCTTGGCCTTGCAATGAGTGCCGGGAGGGAGTATGCAGTGGGCCTGCTCAGCGCTATGTGGCACCAGCTCCCTCTACCCATGCTCTGAAGATCATGTGCTTTGAAACTGCTTTGGGGGGGGGGGGGTAGGGGGAACAGCTACAGAAATTTTCTAACTCTGCTACCTACTGACATTTGAAGAGCACTGGGAGCATTTAAGCATGCAACTGGGAGGAACACTTGGAATCTGATCTGAACAAGGGGGCCAGAGCAGACCAGCCTGTCACTCCCCCAGCTCACCTGATGGCCCTCTTAGCTTCTCTCCTCAACTGAGCAGCCACTGGAAGCCAATGACACCCCCCTTCCACCGTCCCTCCTACATCAAGAGAGCTATGAACTGAAATGTCAGAGCTGAGGTTGGACACCGCACGTTCCCCTCCACTCATAAGACACACATTGTGACACCTTTCCAAGACAGGGCGGCAGGAAATGTCTCCACTAGCCTTTGGCCTGTCTCTCCCTTTCCTTGTTCTTTCTTCCCTCTTTGATCCACTCCTGTATTTTGTCTCCGTCCTTCTCCCACACACACGCCTACTTTCTTCCTTCCTGTTCTCTCAGCCTTCCTGACCCTGGATTCTCCCTTTCCAAAGGAGAGGACTTTTTAGTTTTTAGTGTTATTTCAGGGGGCAATGCCCAAATAAAAGATATGGTTTAATAAATGCAAAAGGGCTTCAAAATTTTCCCATGAGCTTTACAATAGCCCTCTCATATCTATATCCTGTAAATAGCATCGGAGGTTTAGTAGGATCCACTATAGTTTAAATAGCTTGTCAGGAGGAAAACGGATTTCCCTATTTGTCTTGGATTAGACAAATCCATAACCGTACGGGAGGGTCACGGGCACAAGCAGTGCAGGTGAAACACGAGCAGGACCCAGCAAAGCTCAGAGGCTCCCAATACAAGGAGGACCGCGGCGGGGCTGGGAGCACGGTGTTGTCTTGTTTTCCAGTCTTCAAGGCAAAGGGAGTTGGGGCCATAACCTTTCAAATCTGGAAAAGTCCATTGTCCTGGACATGATGGGATTTCCCCCTGCTTTATGGATCTACTCCAGAACCATCCCCTTGGGTAAAGACAATGCTTAGCAGCAGAAGCAGACCGAAAGTAGTCATTAAGCCTCCCGCCTACATTAACTGAAAAACCAATCTTTAAGACTAATTATTTTCATTTAATAATCTAATCACATAGTGGTTAAGGACGCTGTCTTTGCACCTAGACTTCCCTGGTTGTGACTCCACGCTCTGAAGTCCACATTGGGTGGCCTACTGTGAGTTACAGCTTTCTCGTGTTTTTAAATAGGATAACCAATTGTGCGTGGTAAATGGAGATAATCACGGAAGGGTGTAGAGTAGTGCTTGCCATGTACAATCAGCTGTCCATGAATGTTAGCCATTTTAATCTCAAAAGTAGCCCAAAGCTGCTCTTTCTCTTCTCATCTGGACTTTAAGAGAAAGTGGCTGGAGGCAAGTCTTAAAACACCTTAGAATCTTTTTGCAAAGTACTTTTGCTAAATTCCATCAGGGTTGATGGAATGACTCTGAGCCATAATGTGGGATTTAGTTATTGTGAGTGGGCACTGCTTGTTTGAGTCTTTTGGAAGTAAAATTTCATCTTGTCTGGACCGGTGTTAACTCACCTTGATGATGCAAACGTGTGCCTCATGCACCAAGAGCGGCGGTCTGTGCCCAGGTCTTCCTGTTTAGGGATGCCTTCAAAGGCCACGCCGACAGTATAGTCCAAGCGCTCATCCACCTCGACCTCCCAGTAATGGCGGCCACGCACTGGAATGAGATTTCCCCTGACAGCGACACACCTGGTTTTAGAAAGAAGCAGCATGGGCAAGTGAGCGATATCAAATATTGGGGTGGTCGGTAGGTGGTCTACAGATGTGGAGGTAGATGCCACTGAACACTGTCCAATTGTAGAGCAGCCAATCCTCTTTTAAAACTAGCCTGACTGACTAAAGATGAGAAGAGAATGATTACATTGTTTGGTGATGGGACAGGAAGAGACATGAAAACAACAAAAAAGGCTGTTTGCTTTTTAAATATATAATGGTTAGGGGTTTTGTAGTAGCAAAAGTAAAGGTTTGGTCTGCTTGTTTGTTTTAAAAAAGATTGAACACTTAAGAATGCAGGACAGTCAAGGTGAATTGTATGTTTAAAGTTCGTGGCCTGACCACCCCTCGCTTGTGGCACTGACCACCTGACCACCCCTCGCTTGTGGCACTGACCACCTGACCACCCCTCGCTTGTGGCACTGAACTAGCCTGGAGGGACTGTGGAGTAACGTTTATATTGGGGATGATCCCGGCACAGGACAAGAACCCAGAGCCAAGAAGAGCAAACTAGCAATCCCCTTACTCATACCTCATTAAAGCCTAACTTCACGTTTCAACAAGGAACAATTATACTCACAAAGGTCAGAGTTCTGCTCTATAACAATGAAGTCCTCCACCAACCAAAACCGAAAAACTCACTACCATCAAGTTAATTCTTACCTGAGCGACCCTATAGGATAGTGTAGAACTGCCCTGTGGATTTCTGAGACTAACTCTTCATGGGAGTACAAAGCCCCATCTTTCTTCTGTGGAGCAGTTGGTGGTTTCAAACTGCTAACCTTGTGGTTAGGAGCCCAACTTGTGACCACTATGCCCCTGGGACTCACTAATCCACCAGCTCTCCTCCGAGGAAGGGTTTAATAGGAGACCAGATAAATAGCATCAGTACCACAAAGTGAGTGTTCTCTCTCCTTCAGACAATGTAGCTCCCCAAATCCTTAAAAAGCTCAGCTGTCATCAAAATATCAGCTCTACTTTCAAAATCCCTGAATTCCCAGTGCCAAAGCAAAGCTTTGGGAAGAAGATCTCTTCTGTATCTTCCAGATTTGTCCGTGGTCAGAGTTCCTGGGAGTTTCAGTAACACTCCTGATTATGAGACCAGTCTAGGAAGGGTCTTCAGTGGTCTGGGAAAATCCTGCTGTGAGCCATCCTCAGATCCTGCTCTGGCCCAGCCACGTGAACGTCACGGTGACTCAGCCAGAATGCCTTGAGGGTTGATTAAATGACTCTGAGCCATAATTGTGGTTGACATTTAAAAATCGGGGTGAGTTTATGAGACGCAGTGGGAGCGGCAGAGCTTTGGAATCAGGGAGACCTGGGGGCATCCAAATCCCTCATACCAGGTCGTTGTACCTTGTTGCCACTCAGTTACTCCATCTCAGTTTTTTCGTTTACAAAATGAGGCCATTTCCTGTCCAATCACATTTCTAACAAATGGTTCAAATTTGGAATGTTTAACACTGAAATCATCACATTGTCCTCTCTCACACCTACTGAAGTTTGTGTTTGGGGGGAGGGGGGTGCTGGTGGTGTGGTGTGTGTGGTGGGTTGGGAGAGGAGGCTGGGTGTCTAGAGGGGGTGGGGAGTCTGTTCTTGTGCTCCTGTTTTCCCCGTTTTGGTTACATCAAGGCAGCAAACTAAGGAATAATGTAGTGGTACAAACAGGTTGTAGTTGAATCCTGGCCCTCTTAGTAGTAGTGTGTGCTTGGGCAAGTTACTTAACCTCTCTGTGCCTCTGTGGGCTCATCCATTAAATGGGGTTGATATCTACCTCAGAGAATTCTTCTGAGGATTAAATAGGCACTTCATGGAAAGCCTTCATGTACACTTGGTAAACTGAAAATCGCACTGCCATGGGGTTGATTCTGACTCAGAGTGGCCCTGTAAGGTAGACCTGCCCTGTGGGCTCTGAGACGGTAACTCTCCAGGGAAATGGAAAGATAAGCTTTCTCCCATGGAGGGGCTGCTAGTTTCAAACTACCAACCTTGTGGTTAGCAGCCCGATGTGGAGCCACTCTGGCACCAGGGCGCCCAGCACTTGGTAAGCACTTTGTAAATAGATAATGATACAGTCTCTGCCTCCTTCCTCTTCCTTTTGCCTCATAGCCAGTTGGTCACCTTGCCCCGTGGGTTTGTGTCCTAAAGATCTCTTAAATCCACTTAATCCTCTCATCCAAGATGAGCGCTGACTTAGCCAGGGACTCCTGCTCTCCTTTCTCATCTGCCTGCCATCCAGCTCACACTTCACTATACAGAGTGATCGTCCTAACACTTACATTTGATAACATCCTTGAGTTAGTTAATTGTGCCAGCCTGGCCGATAATCACATGTGGTGCTGGTTGAAAGGCGGAGGGATAAATGGGTGGTGAAGCCTCGCCTTTCTAGTTCTCGGGTCTCTTGTTTTGTGATGGTTGCATCGGGTGCAGCTGCCTTAGCAGTTCTCTGCTTCAGCTTGCAAGATGGATTTCCTACAAGACATCCCCAAGGAGAAGCCGCATGGATCTATCCCGATGCAGCCCTGGGTGCTGGAGCAGCCGTGTGGAGACCCCTGCCAGTGCTGAGATGCTTACACGTTCACGGACTCAGCTTTCCTCCTGCAGTTGGCATCATTGCCTCTGTTTTGTGAGGTGGAGGACTTTGTGGACTGGTGTTGGGTTAATGGGTTAATGTTGGACTTGTGGGCTTGGGCAGCATTGAGTTGGGATGTTTTCGTGATGCACCTTTTCTTTACATAAAACTCTCTCTTATAAGTGAGTCGCCGTGGATTTGTTTCTCCAAAGTACCTAGACTAATACAATCCTTCATTAAAAACAGCCCGAACTCCAAACTTATTGCCATCCAGTTGTTTCCGACTCATAGCGACCCGATAGGGCAGGGTAGAACTGGGTTTCTGAGGCTGTAACTCTTTATGGGAATGGAAAGCCTCATCTTTCTCCTACAGACTGGCTGGTGGTTTCCAACCACTGTCCTATGCGTAACCACTGCGTCATCAGGGTTCCTGATATCATTTGTTATTACCAGCTAAAGGATAGAACCACAAAATTCCACCTCTTCCTCTTTTGGACCCAATACTGAAGACAGATTAAACATCCTGTAGAACTCTCCGTAGGCCTTTGGCTTCCTTCTGTAGTACACGCTGTTTCTCTGCCGGGAATGTCTCTCCTTGCCTCATTGCCCTCCACAATTCCTGTTTATCCCGCAAGACATAGCCCCTCCAGGAAGCCTACCTTATGGAGGTTCTGACAATGCCACATTCATACTTTTTACATGTGTGCCTTTTACATACATGTCCCCTTCACACCCCTTGACATCTGGCCTCAGATCTCTACCCCCAGCACACCCAGCACCCAGCACAGTGATTCACAGGCAGCACACTAACTCAGCTGTGTGTTTTGGGGAAATAGATTGTGACAGGAACCCACCAAAGGAATGCTGCCCCAGTGTTGTTTTGTGAGACTCCTGTCCAGGAGTCCTTGTGAAGGTAGAAGAGACCATGGTAGAAAAAGGTCAGAGGTGCATTGGGAGGGGGGGCAGGCGAGGGGGGGGCACCAAGGGAGAAGGATGGCCTGTGCTACCAGTTCCAGCCAGAGAGGCCTAGTGTTTGAGGCACCCACACAGGGCCCATGAGAGTCAGCTGTAAACAGCTGCCCTTTTTGCCATTCAGCCGTCTCTCCCCTTCCCCAAGCCTAGCTTGAACAATTAGACGGGACAAAGGGACCTGGTTCACAGGGACTAGAGAAGACAAGAGCGGGTTGGCTGTTCTGAAGTTTAAAGAGTTGTGTAGAACCTTGGCTATGTCATGACCTAGCTCAAGGGGGGTAGGGCTGTAGAGAATTTGTGACGGGGCCCATGATCAAAAGGCGAGGCGGCCAATGGGCGCCTTGGTGAGGCTAAGTGAGGTGGCGTCCCACATTGAGTTGACCAGACCCTGACCAGATGGAGATTTTTAAGCCTGTGAATTGGTGCATATTGGTGCTGACATTATGGATGGCCTGTCCTGATGTGACTTTGCTGATGGATGCAGACTCACAAGGTTCCAACTGGAATGAAGATTCTTCACATCAAAGAACATGCTTGTCTCCTCAGAGCACTGGGTTCACATAAGTAGACAGTATAGAAATTGGATACCCAAAATTGGGGTGACAAAGGCATTTAGTGGCTGGTTTACAAACTTTCATAGGTTGGGGAGTATGTTCATAGGATTATGGTGTAAGTGTTCACATAACTGAAATTGTTAAGTAGAGAATATTTTTGTTTTGTTTGTTTATAGACTGTTTAAATGAACCTGACACATTTTGAGTTGTATGCAATTTATTTAGTTTTATCCTGTTAGGCACTAGATATGATTTTATTATTGTTTTGTTTAAAAATCATATATGTGCTATTCCAACACAAAGGGGAAAAGAAGGAAGGTGGAGGGAGAAAAGGAGGGAAAGAAAAGGGGGGTGGGGAGACAATGGCATTAGGGTAGCAGGGCACTAACCCACCCAGGAGGAGAGTATTGATTATGTCTCCACAGAATTGGGAGTGGGCTACAGAGCCGGCCCCAATCAGAACCAAGCTGACCCCTTCCCTAGAAGTATGTGTTACAGAGGACAACAGTAAACCTACAGGTTGGGGATGGGCCTGCCTGCCATGCCCCCACGGAAGCAAATGAAGAAAGAAAAAGAGAGTGAGGGTCATTGGCACACCAAGCCTGGAGGGCGACGTCCCTGCACGGAGCTGCTAAAGCACAGAGAGGACTGTAGGGCTGACTACAGCTCGAGACATGGTGTCCCCTCACTGGAGCATACTGCGACAGAGGACAATGCTGGGGACACACGGCAGAGAGTTAGTCCTGTCTAAACCCCCACAGTGGGGCGAACCAAGAAGGGAACAAAACAGATCAGCAACAGGAGCAAAGCCACGCCACAAAGTCCCTGGGGAGCCCCCCAAATAGACTAGAGGCTAGGAGGGGCAGTTCCCAGAACTCTCGCAGGACCATGGGGGAGATAGTGACAAAGATCAGTGGACAGACCTGGAATTAGGTATGCTCTTTTGTTTTTTTCCTAGTAATTATATCTGTTTTCTCTTTTTATTCAATCTTTTGTTCCCTTTGTCTCCGTTATTGTTGGTTATGCCTACCTACAAAAGATAGGCATGGAAAGCAAGTGCGAGGAAAAAGCAATGGACCCGTGGTCCCAGAGGGACTTGGAGGGAGGAGGAGGCAGGGGCAAGGGAGAAGTGAGCAAACAACGCCATAGACGGGGAACAACTGGGGAATGAAAATCAACAATGAGGAGGACATAGAGATCCTGGGGGTGTTGGAGCAACAGCAATCTGGCTGAGAGGAATTACTAAGAGGCGGAAGTAGGATGAGCGTGATGGTGGGGCAGGAGGAAGATAAAAGGAAACAGAGGAAAGATCTAGGAAGCAAGGCTATGGATAGAAGTATAAACAGGTGTGTACATATATAAATACATTAATTCATAAAAATAGAGGTATTGGCCTATGTACATATATTTATATGGCAATTAACTGAGGTAGTGGACAGACTTTGGGCTTCTGTTCAATCCCTGCCTCAACACAAGAACACTTTGTTCTAACAAACTGGCATTCTGTGATGCTCACCCTCCTGGCAGGATCGCTGAAGGCAAAATGGGTGCATAAGTTAATGTAGTGAAGAAAGCTGATGGTGCCTGGCTGTCAAAAGATACAGCATCTGGAGTCTTAAAGGCCTGAAGTTAAACAAGTGGCCATCTAGCAGAGAAGCAACAAGCCCACCTGGAAGAAGCACACCAGCCTGTGTGATCATGAGGTGTCAATGGGATCAGGTAACAGGCATCAGAAGACCCCAAGCAAACAAACAAATGAGAAAAACATTGTTGAGAGGGAGGGGGCTTGGAGCAAGACCCTAAACCCATCTGTAGACAATGGGACATCCCCTCACAGAAGCGTCACAAGGAAGGAATGAGTCAACCAGGATGCAGTATAGCACCGATGAAACACACACTATTCCTCCGGTTCCTTGAGGCTTCCTCAGCCCCCACCATCATGACCCCACTTCTGCCTTTCACTGAGGGCTAGACCGGAGCATGTACACAGGTACAGGTAAGAAATAAGAGCTCACGATAGACAGAATCCAGGAACAGGAATGGGAGTAGTGATACCAGGAGGGTAGGGGGAAGATGGGGAGAAAGGGGGAACCGATTGCAATGATCAACATAGTTATACACACACACACACACACACACACACCTGCCCCAGGGTGACGAACAACAGAAACCATGGGGGAAAGGACACAGTGGTCGGTGTAAGATCTGAAAATAATAATTTATAATTTATCAAGGGTCATGAGGGGGGCAGGGAGGGAAAAAAGGAGCTGATATCAAGGGCTTAGATAGAAAGTAAATGTTTAGAAAATAATGATGGTGACATATGTACAAATATAAAATGTTCGTTTAATAATAATAAAAAATTATATATGGCTAAAAAGTGTTGTAAAGGTGTCAGGTTGACTGGGGTGGTCTGTGGTCACTGCGTAATTTCATGTCCGCTTGATAAATAAGTGTGGGGCGGAGTCCAGCCTGTCAGTCAGGTGAGCGTGGCCTTCTCATGAGCATTCGGGACCTTTCTCCCTTGCTGCTGCTTCACCTTGTTGACAAGACACATCGCGCCACGTGGAAACCTGAGCCGGCCCTGTGATGTTTCCACTGCCATTGGATTCACAGGACTTTTCACCCACTGGCTGCGATCTTCCTGAATTCTGTGTCATTGCATGTGAGTCGGAAGAGAGATTTATGGACTAGTATCGAACTTATGGGCTAATATCAGACTTATAGACTTGATTTGGACTAGGCTGGGGTGTTTTCTTATTATACAATTACGCTTTCATATAAAGCCCATTGTTATACAAGAAAGCGAACTATTTTTATATGTATGTGAGTGTCACTAGATTTGTTTCTCTAGCCTAACACACCAAACAAACAAAGACTTGTGAATACCCTGTGAAATGCAGATGACACAACTCTGCTTGCTGAAAGTGAAGGACGCTTGGAGCAGTTACTGATGGAGATGAAAGACTACAGCCTTCAGTGTGGATTACACCGCAATGCAGAGAAGGCAGAGATCCTCGTAACTGGCCCAATGAGCAACAAAATGGAGAAAAAAATGAAGTTGTTAAGGATTTCCTTTACTTGGAACACAATCAGTGCCCATGAAATGAGTAGTTAAGAAATCAAATGATTATTACATTGGGAAAATCTCCTCAAAAGCTCTCTTTGAAGTGTTAAAAACAAACAAAATCTGCTCTCTGAGGAGGACTATGGTGCATCTGTTCCAAGCCATGATATTTTCAAAAGCCTCATATGCGTTTGAAAGCGGAACAGTGAATCAGGAAGACTGGATAAGAATTGGTGCCTTTGAGCTATGATATTAGTAAAGGATATTGAATATATCATGGGCTGTCAGGAGAGCAAATAATTTGAACTGGGAGAAGTATAGTGAGAAAGCTGCTTAGAAGCAAGGATGGCGAGACTTCATCTCATGTACTTTGAGCATGTTATCAAGAGGGACATCAAGCTTGGTGAAGGAGAAGGTCAACAGAAAAGAGGCAGGCCCTTAGCAAGATGGATGGACACAGTGGTGGCAGCAATGGGTTTAAGGCTGGCGCAGGACTGGGAGTATCTTGTTCTGTTGGACCTACGGTCACTGAGTCAGAACAGACTTGACGGCACCTAGCAACGACACTGAGCAACTCTTCACTTGCTTGTTCAACATCCTCTTTGGTGACATATCTGTCCAAATCCTTTGCCCATTAAAAAATGCATTGTTCGTCTAGTTGTAAAGGTTATAGATATATATTTGATAGTAGGCACTCATTAAATACATGTTATCATCTCTGTTCTTCCACAAACTTGACAGCAGGATCCCAAACCCATCACGTCATGATGAACCCCGCAGTTCTGGCAGCCCAGGACTTATCCTCCAGAGAGGTCACAACATACCCCTTCTGTCTGCACCCACCCGATGTCGTCTCATGCCCCCTCTCATGTCCCTTGTTCCCCAATCCCCTATCTCCTTATTCATTTTGAGGATTCCTTGTTCCCTTTATCTGTCTTTGGTAACCTGACCAAGTGTGTATTTGAGAAACACTGTGTGTGTGTGTGTGTGTGTGTGTGTGCGCGCGCGCGCGCGCGCGCAGTTAATACAGCACCTGGGTAGTGGCTCCCTTGCTGTTGTTTTCCTTTCACTCCGGATGACTGTAAACCCATCTTCAGAAATGGTCAGCCAGGGATGGCAGGTGTCCTTGTTTAGGTGGAAGTAGCTACCTGTGCGGGGAGGGAACACACAGCAGACAGCCAGCCAATCGTTGCACTGCTTCCTGTGGGGGAAGGGCTTAAGTGCCCCTTGCTGGTTGATCTTCCTGTATGAGCCTCATAAACCTGAGCTGTGCATAAGAATAACCACACTAACAGTGAGGCCCAAACCCACGACCACCGAGTCGATTCCAACTCCTAGTGACGCTATAGGGCCCAGTTGAACTGCCCCTTTGGGTTTCCCAGGCCGTGACTCTATGGGGGCCGAAAGCCTGTCTTTCTCCTTCAGATTCACACTGCGGCTTTTGCAGTTAGCAGTGCAACCTGTAGCCCCCCACGCCACCAGGCCTCCTAATAAGGACAGTTGGCAGAAGTGGAGAAGGCAGGTGGCCATACTGTGCGATGAGGGCTGGGGTATGCAGTGGTTGGGAAGAACCATGCAGCATGCTGCTTCCAGAATGATTGCAGCCTCGGACACCCCATGGGGCAGGTCTACCCTGCCCTCGGAATCTCGGCCTTCACGGCAGTGAGTTTGGGTTTGGGCAGGGGTGCGAGCTGTATTATGCTAAACAGTTTGCCAGTCTTATATCACTCCATCTCCCCAATTACCCCTGGAAACATGATTTCCATTTGGTAGATGAGGAAACCGAGGCAGAGAGGGTGGTTACAGAATTAGCTGGCTAATTCAAAGGACTCAAATTTGGGCCTCAAGTTCCTCTGACTCCAGTAGTGGTCTTAAATGTTGTAGGCTATTGATGTGGTGCACAGCCCAGACTCGAACCTGCCTGCTACTGGAAAAGGGCACTCGAAACCAAAGGAATTCTTCATTATCCATTTGACGGGGATTAGCAAAATTCAACTTCCACTAAGGGCAATGGGGCTGAGCAAAGGAATGGAACTATCTCACTGCCACCCTATAGGACAGGGTAGAGCCACCCAGGGGGGTTTCTGAGAGACTAGCTGTAGTAGACACCTCCATCTTTCTCTCACAGAGCGGCTGGTAGTTTCAGACTGCTGACCTTGCAGTTAGCTGCTCAACACCTAACCACTACTCCACTAGGGCTCCCCCACAAGAACACCCCTCCCAGCTGATGAGTTGGTTCTGACTGGGACCCTACCGGGCAGAGTAGATCAGCCTGAGTTCCCCAGGTTGTGCTCGAGCCAGCAGCTCAGCGTTTACTGCCTGCGCCGCCAGCGGGGGTGCCATCTTCTGACAGAAGAACTCTTTGAGGGACTGCAGCCAGGCCCGTCTCTAGTTCCAGAATGGGCGCCCCCCATCTTCTCACTTCTCAATCGATAGTTCACAGCATTGCCATCAAACCACTCACAACTGTTTTCACAGCTTGGCGCCACTGGACGTTTGGTTCACTGTCGAGCTGGCTAGCAAGGGCGAGGAACATTCCCACCTTGAAACTGGCCTTCCGTCACTGCCTGTTCGCTAGTCCCAAACAAGAACCGTTTGAGTGCTGAATTCACGTTGATTCATGTTCTTTTCATAAATATACTTAAACTATCTGAACAAACAGAGGGCCTGGTAATCAAGAGCTGGCTGTATGGACCTCTTTCTCTGTGTCCTCTCGTACTGAGTTTGACATTTCAACCCACCAAGTCAGCACAGGAAATTAGAGGTGCCAGCCAATCCTGGCACTAACCCCTACCAGCTCTGGCACCTTCCGTGGCCATTTCATTAGGGTCCTCTAACTGTGAAGGGGAGGTAATAGGTCACTCTCCGGTCAGCTTCCTGGCATTAGAAGACAAGTGACACAATTTCCTTAGTGAGAGATCCCAGGCAAGAGGCTTTTGTCCCCTTTGTCCAGGGCCAGCCTCGCTGCTTCTGCTTCTCACCCAGTTGGCCTGAGCTGGCCTTGCTCTGCGGGGCGTGGGCAGCACTGGCTCTCTGTAATGAGTCCTGGTGAAGCTCAGAACCTGGAGACACAACAGCTCTGGAAGAATGGGAAACAGGTGGAATGTCGCCGGCCCTGTCTGCTAACTCATCACTGACACAGGAGACGTGACAGTTCTGTGGCGTGGTGATAGCCAGTGACAAGCTGAAACTGGGGATGTGGACACCCACTAACCCACACCACTTGTCATCTAGCTGATTCATAGTGCTCTGCTCCACGGGGTTTGCAAGGCTGAACCTTTCAGAAGCAGATCACCAGGCCTGTCTGCTGGGTGGGCCTGAAGCGCCAACCTTTTGGTTAGTAGTTGAGTGCTTAACCCTTTGCGACACCCAGGGGCTTCTGCTGGGACTAGACAAATTTACGTTAGGTCTTTGGGTAGGGAGATGCTTGGGTTGACAGCCAGAACTAGGAGGTGAGTCAAGGCCAATGACTCTTCCTGGGACTTTCATAGAGGCTTCTTCTCAGGGGTGGTGTTCATATGACGTGACAGGGCCATCCAAGTCTAGTGTGACAAGTCTAATCTACTTGAGGGGTGTAGAGAAAGAAACACAATAGTTTGGGGCCAACGAGCCTCAGGTTCTACTACTTGTTCAGCCACCAACTTGCTTTGTGTCTTGCACCTTCATTCTCCCCATCTGTGGGATGGGACCACAGGATCTTGATGTCCCCTGAGCTCCTCCGTCCAGCCTTCCTTGCTCTGTGCCTATATCCTCTCATCTATTTCCACTAGAACTGGAGCAGCCCTGGCTGTGTGGTCAAGGGCACAGACCTGTGGTATGGATGGTGGCAGGCTTGCTCCTGGCGCTGGGCCCGCCCACATTGAGGGCTCTCACGTAGAGTGTGTAGGTCTGCCTGGGCTGCAGCTGTATCAGGGCCTCGCAGGTCGGGATGCCCACAACAGACCTGTGTGAGGAAGCAGAGCCGCAATCACCATGGGGTTGGGGGCCCTGGGCCTTTGGACTCAAGCTCTGGGAAACTCTTTTGAAACTGGAATATTCAGCTCACTTTCATGTCCCTACCCTCTGACCCACAGTAGCACGGCCAAGAGTGTAGCCTTCTGTTCCCTCCCACTTGTCTCCCTTTCTGGTTACTTATGATTGTGCTGCCTCTCCTTCCAGGCTCCCATCCTAGTTCTTCCAGCACTTAATGTGTTTTGATGGTGGTCAGAGGAGGCCTGCATGCTGTAGAATCTAGTGCAGCTCCATCTATCTGTTAGGATCAAAAGCTCTCTGAGGGCAGGGTTGGAGTCCAGTGAAGAGACCACGCCAGGCCCCCAGTCCATGCCTACGAATAAGTGACTCTGATCAGAGCAGAAAGGGCCCATTTGAAAAAGGCCAATGATGTCAATCCCTTGGCCTCCAACTCTTGGGGAGACTTTAAACGGTTCTATGAAAACCTGTTGACAGGGAGTAGACTGACTCATGGCGACCCTATATGTTATAGGGTAGATCTATGGGATCACCAAGTCTGTCTTCTGTGGCCCCAGTGGGTGGGTTCAAACCACAAATGTTTCCGTTATCAGCCGAATGTGAACTACCTGCACCACTCTGGGTTCTTACCCAGGCTGTGCACCCAGAATTGCCCCAGGTGATATTTTGGGGGTTGCCAACAATTTCAGTTTGGTGGGAAAGAGGAGTCTTCAGCATTTATGTATTTGTTGTTGTTTTTTGTCTCATTTTCCCCAGGGCTGTCAACTCCACAAGGACAGGGAATTGGTCCGTGTGGTTCACCAGTGGCTGCCCAGGACCTGGCACCATGGAGGCACTTGATACTTGTTGAGTGAATGAATGAATGAATGAATGGTAAACTTCAGTTGGGATTAAATAAATAAGCAAAGCTGAGGTTTAACCTTTTATTCATTCGTTCATCTTCATTCACCTTCAAGAAAAGCATTGTGGCTACTTGCAAAAACTAACTCCAAACCAACCCCTCTACTGGTGCGTCTGTCCCGTAGCAGAACTACTCCGCAGGGTTTCCAAGGCTGTCATTCTATGGAGTACCCTGGTGGCTAGTGGTTATGCACTAGGCTGCTAACTACAAGGTCCGTCGTTTGAAACCACCAGCCGCCCTGGGGGAGAAATGCAGGGCTTTCTGCTCTGGGAAAGATTTACGGTCTTGGCAGTTCACAAGGGCAGTTCTGTCCTATATGGTCGCTATGAGTCAGAATTCACTCGATGGCAGTGAATTTGGCTTCTTTAGGGAAGCAGACAGCCCCAGTTTTCTCCTGCAGAGTAAGCAGTTGGTAGGTTTCAGTGGTCACCCTTCTGGTTAGTAGTTGAGCATTTAAACACGGCACTACCAGGGCTCCTTTCTCAAAAACTCAGTAACCTAAAACGAGGGCTGTGTCCTACTAAACTCCAGACATTTCCTAAGTCCCGGTACTGTATCAGGTGTCTGGAGCCTCTGACGCCCAACAGGCACGCCCTTGTGACTCACTCGGTGACCCCCGAGGCTTCTGGCGTTTCTGCTTGGGTCAGCTCCACCGTGTAAGAGTCCACAGGGTTCAGGTTCCCGGAGTCCCAGGAAATCAGCGCCGCCTCTTCGCAGCTCCTTATTGCCATGGTTTTTATGATGGGGGGAGAAGGCGCTGCAGGCGAGAGAGGGGGAGGTGAGCAGCGCTCTGCATGCATGTGGCATTTTGTTCAAAGCTAAGGACAAACATCACAATGCCCTCCTCCGCCCCGTGGCAGAGAATCGGAGCAAGAAAAAGCAAGCCAGGGGCCACCTTTCAGAAGCTCCTGGAGCAGAGAGGCTGCTGTTGTGGGATGTGGAGTCCGTTCCCACTCATGGCACCCCTGCAATAGGTCAGAGTAGGAACCCTGGTGGTGTTTTGAGTTGGGCCTTATTAGGTTGGCCGTCAGGTCAGTGGCTCAAGCCCACCAGCTGCTCTGGGGAAGAAAGAGGAGGCTGTCTGCTCCTGTAGAGATTTCAGTCTTGGAAACCCTACGGAGCAATCCTGCTCCATCTTACAGAGTCGCTGTGAGCTGGAATGGACTCTTCGTCAGGGTAATCGTTATGAAGCAGGCTTGTCTGTCACACGTTGCATCCGAGGTGACAATAGATCCAGCCAGCTCAAGCCATCAGTTAGCAGTGGAGCACTGCACCACTGTGCATCCCAGGCGCTTTGGAGACTGGTTGCAAGGTTCAAATGGAAGTATGACCTCAAGTTGTTGATATTTTGAGACCAACCATGAGAAAATGTCTCTCCCAGGCCAGGTGTAATAGACTGAACTATGCCCTCAAATAGATGTTGGAATCTTAACCCCTGTTATATACTGTTTGGAAACATGGTTTTTGTTACATTAATGGGCTCTAAATCTAATCACTTCTGAATTATACAATGAGTAGGTAAGACAGAGAAGCGCATGCCTGCTTGGGGAAAGGCAGGTGGCAGGTGAGAATGACCAAGGAACCTGGGAACACCCAGGGCTACTGACAAAGGAGGAATCAACATGGCTGAGACACTGATGGGCTTCCAGACTCTAGAACTTGGAGAAAATAAATTTCTGTTCCTTAAAGCCCCGGCCCCCACCCCCCATGACATTTGTATTATAGTAACACTAGAAAATGAATACCACAGGCATCAGATTTGTTTTCTTAAATGAAATTTTAAAAAATTGTTCTTTCTGCCCTTCCAAATGAATTAAAGACCCCTGCCATGTGTAAACTCTGGTGACTCCTGTCCCCCTGTGATGAAGGCCTTGCTCCAGAAAACAAGTGGCCACCTTACCTGTCATGTACACTGCACACTCACTGGCGGGGCTGGTGCCAGCCCTGTTCCGAGCTGTAACCCAAAATTCATACTGGGTATTTGGGGCAAGGTTTGTTACTGAGCAGTATGTTTCTTTGGCAGTCAATGTAAACTCTGAAAAAGAAAAGGAAATAAAGATAGGAATTCAATCCTAAAATTGGACAGAGGGGTCTCAAGTTCATTTTGGGGATTCCTCTGTTGGGATTTACAAAGCTGGCCCCACGTCCCTCCCATTCCTGTGTGCGCGCCTCTCTGCAGGTGACTGTCCAGCTAGCACCTTGGGCAAGGCCTAGTCAGGTGACTCACTTTAGCCAATGGGACACCAGAGAGCACGCTGCAAGCAGAGACTTGGAAAGGGTTAGCACATAGGGACTGGTCCTCTTGCTGCTGAGAACTTTTCCACCACTATGGCAACAGGGCCACCTGTGTGCTACAAACCGTGAAGCACTTGGCTATGAACCAAAAGGTTAGCGGTTCAAGCCGCCCAGAGGCGCCCTGAAGGAAGACCTAACAATCAATCACTGAATACTCAGTGGAACATAGTTCTATTCTGACATGCACGAGGTCACCATGAGTCAGACTTAATGGCGACTGGTGTTGCTATTGCCGTTGCTTTACCATGTGAAAAAGACCAAGCCAGCCTCAGTTGCCCAAGTTGCCCTAACCATCCCAGCTATCTATGTATGGCCATCCTAGGTATCCAGCACTAGCCAAGGGGACCCAGTCCCTCTAAACTATCTAGCCAGCACACAGAAATGTACCAAATAAATGTGTGCCCTTTTAAGCCATATATTGTATGCTTAGAGGATATGGCTATGTAGACTATTACTGTAATGCAGCAAAAGCTAACTGATACATCTGCAAACCACCTAGACTCTTGACAGGGCATAATAGTGCATTACCCCATCCTCTGATATCAGTTCCTTAATATCGACGGTCTTCATGGATTGCCAGGCTACAGACCCGGTGCAGCAGCTTCAGTGTGTCTACAGAGGTGCCAATAGGGTTGATTCACAGCAAAAAAACTAACAAAAAACCAAACTCACTGCCAGTGAGCTGATTCCGACTCACAGTGGCCCTATAAGACAGAATAGAACTGTCCCTCTGGTTTATAAGACGGGAACTCTTTACAGCACTAGAAAGCTTCGTCTTTCTGCCTCAGAGCTGCTGGTAGTTTCAAACTGCTGACCAAATGTGTAACCACTACAGCACCAGGGATCCTGTGATAAACCAGGTCTGATTTCCTGGTCCTCGACTTCCCTTTTCAAAACTCCCCACCTCCCAGGTTTCCTTTACTCCTCATTCTGATCACCCACCTGCACTGCTCCCATCCCCATCCCTCATCATGGCTTTACCTTACTCTGCATTTTTCTTCAAGGATCCCCGTTCTTCCTGAACCTGAGAAGACACTCTGTCCTCACCTTCTGGCATTCAGCATGCTGCCTGCACAGCTGAGGATCCTGAGCAGAGCTCTGGGCAGGGACCCTGCAGAGTCTACCCTAAGTCACTATGTCCCTCTGCACAGTTCACCTCTCTCAGGGTCTCAGCTGCCTCCTCTATGGAAATGGAGAGCTCTCGGTCTTTTCCCAGTAGTCCTGTCCCAACTCCATGTACACAGCACAGGTCCATCAGGCTGCCTTTATTCTCTGGCCCCTGCAGATGCTCAGCTGGGGCTCTGGTGTTATCAGACCCTCCCTTCTCAACAGCAGCCTGGCTTCTTGATTCTTGGGTTGTGGAGGTTTACTCCAGCCTTTATAGCCACAGCAGCCAGTCCTGTGCTGTGGGAAGACGATGGACCATGGCTGCCTGACATGGTGACTGGGGGCCATTCCCAGGAGCTGGTGCCATCTGAGACTGTGACAGCTGGTCATCACCCCCTCTTTAAGGCAGCAGAAGTCCTCTCACCTTTCATGAGAGTCTGCAGCTCAGACATATCCTTTCTCCTGGAACATAGGCTTGCTCTGAAAAGATAGTATTGGGACTGCTGGAACTCAGCCAGGGACCACTCCCGCTGGGCCTTCTGAGCAAGGGGTGTCCCCGGTCCTTCTTGCATGCCATGCACTGTGATACTCCATGTGACACCCTTAGATACTCTACAGCAGTGCTGCTCCACCTCCTCAGGCCGCGACCCTTTCACACAGTCCCTCATGTTGTGCTGATCCCCAACCATAATATTATTTTTGTTGCTACTTCATCACTGCTACTTTGCTACTGTTATGAATCATAATGTAAATATCTGAAATGCAGGATGTATTTTCATTGTTACAAATTGAACATGATTAAAGCATAGTGATTCATCACAAAACAATATGTAATTATATATTGTGAAATATTTATTTCTAAGTACAAACAAATGAAATTTTGTCTTGAAGCATGGCGTAGCATGGGTAACAGTCTTCAGGCCGGGTACTCATATGTGGGTGTATCTGCATGTGGACGGACCTGCCTGAAGAGGGATAGAGGAGCAGTGTCTCAGTTCCTAAGACCATCGGAGATATGTGCTTTCCGATGGTCTTAGGCAACCCCTGTGAAAGGGTCGTTTGACCCCTAAAGGGGTCATGACCCACAGGTTGAGAACCGCTGCTCTGCAGAGCCTTTTGCCTGGCCTTGTGGTCCTCCCCAGTCAATACCCAACTCGCCTTCTAGTCCCTTCTAGTTCTGCTTCTCTGTTTGCCTGCACCCCACCCTCTGGACAAAAGGAACTCCTCAGGATTCCCAGATGACACAGCCGCAGTCCAGCCCACCTCCATCTTTCCCACAGCCAGCAAGGCTGTGAGTGGGAGCGTGCTCCTGGCGGAGCCTCACCTGCCTGGTCCTCTCGGGGTGAGTTGTCTTGCACTGGCCGGTAGGCCAGCTGGTAGCTCTCCACAGTATCATCAGAGTATAAGCTCCAGCACACGCGGACAGAGGAACCTGTAGCTGAGTTTGGGGCCTGTGGGTTTATCACTGGAGCAGAAGGAACTAGAAAAGAAAAGGGGGGAAAATGCAGAAACAAATGAGGATCCTGAAGTGGAGGTGTGGGCTGGGAGCAGTGTCTTCCACAGGACCACTCTCCCCAGTGCATCCGTGGCCTCTGGACATGGAAGAGGCAGCCCAGCACGGAGAAGGCAAAACCTCTCAGCCACAAGCCTGCAAGGAGTGGCTGGTAAAACCATGCCTGATGTGACAAAGCCACACAATCTCAGGGGGAAGGGGGACAGTGACAGGTTATAGTCTGTCAGTCCTGCCCCAGGTCATACCTCTTTTGACCCTTCCGTGCAATCTGCAGAGGCAGAGCAATGAAGACCACAGCAGCGTTAGAGTGGACAAAGGGCAAGAAGCCTTCAACAGGGATACCCTACTCTCATTGGCTTCACTGCCAATGACCGTCTCCCATGTCCCAGTGAGAGAAGAGTGGGATTGACCAATTGTTTTTCAGAACCAACTTCTTCAGAGTTTTTCATTTATTCTTCTCTGTAGGTTAGTGCCTCTGCCCCCTCAACTCTAACACAAACACACAGCCAAGAATAGAATCAAGTAGTGTTTGTCCTCCATAATCCTCCTCCCATGCAAACACTGCTTTCCATCCCAGGCTTTTAAGAGCATTCGTTGCGTCAAAGCTTTAATTCAAAGTCATTTAATTAACTGTACTCAGCCCTTTCTTTTCTGGTCATGAGCTAGGTTGCATGCACATTGGCTAGAGTATAATTCTCAGTGGTTGGGCAGACGGACACTATGTTATTTTGCCATGAAGTGAGCAGCCAATCAGTTGAGAGGAGGGTGTGGCCTGTCTCCAGGAAATAAATGGACATCCTAGAAAAGCTTGCTCTTTCTTGGTTATGCCTGACTCTTATTGCCTGGCCTCTGGACGGAAACCTACAGAAGTTTTTGGCCTGCTGCCTGACATGCAGGTTTAGAGTTCTTCAGCCTCTGCCAACACATGAGCCAGCTGACTCTGGCAGCATAATGCCTAACACACAGATTTGGGAGTTGCCAGCCCCCACAACTATTTGAGTCACTTTCTCACAATTCCCGACCAAGCTGTTTCCTTGAAGTAAATTGCTCTCTCTCTGTCTCAATATAGATAGATAGATAGATAGATAGATAGATAGATAGATAGATAGATAGATAGATATAGATAGATAGATATACACACACTTCACTGCTGGTTTTGCTCCTCTAGGGAATGCCGACTCTGTGGGTTGGAAGACCAGGTCATGACAAAGCAGGGAAGAGAAAGAATTGCTATTCCCAGATGACATATTTAGGATGAACAGAAGATGCCCTTTAAACTCATCTCTTCACCCAAAGATGCAGTGCAAAGGGAAGGATGGCTTTTTCAGTTGTTACCTGTGTTAGTCTGGGTAGACTAGAGAAACAAATCCATGGATACTCATATGTGTATAAGAAAGAGATTTATATACAAGAGCAATTGAACATTGAGAAAACATCCAAGCCCCGTCCAGATCAAATCCGTAAGTCTGATATTAGCCCATATGTCCGATACCAATCTATAAAGTCCTCTTCAGACTCATGAAACACATGCAATGACGCCAAATGTAGAAGATCACAGGCCAGTGGGTAGAACGTCTTTGGATCCAGTGTTATTGGACACATCTCAGCGCTGGCAGGGGTCTCTGCATTGGAAACATCTCAGCACTGGCAAGGGCCTCTGCATCAGGGTGGGTCCATGTCTTGTCAGCTGCTATGTCTCCCAGGGAGACTCCCAGGGAGTGTAAGAGAGTCTCCCACCTCCAAGAAGGAAATACCAGATTTCCCAGAATTCTCAGGAGAAGACCATGCCCACACAGAAGCCTCATTGGCTATGATCCAATTGACAGACTAGATTCCACCCCTTCACTCGTAATCCTCTCAAATTGACACCAGATTAGGTGACTACCTCATTACCCTCCTTAGGAGGCAACTGAGGTGTGGTAGCTACATAATCTGTTGTCAATTTGAGACTATTAAGAGTGAAGGGGTAGAGTTTAGACTGTTAATCAGGTCACAGCTTGATGACCTCATTTGGAGGCGCTAAGGAGATAAATAGCTCATTGGAGGTGGGACACACACTCACTCCCTGCGAGACATCCCTGTTGACAAGCCACATGGAGCTAAGCTGATGGTAGTCAGGACCCTGGAGCTGGAGGAACCACATGAAGAACCAGGCCACCTCTAAGATGCTTCCATCACCACTGGATCCAAAAGACTTTCCACCCACTGGCCTGTGATCTTCCTGAATTCGGCATTATTGCATGGCTGCATGAGTCTGAAGAAAAATTTATAGACTGGTATCAGAGCTCTTAAAATAATCCATACATCCATTATGTCAAGCACATTTGAACACATGCTGCCATCATCATTTTCAAAACATTTTCTTTCTACTTGAGCCCTTAGTATCAGCTCCTCCCACTTGATAAATTAGAAATTATTATTATTTTCATATCTTACACTGTCTGCTGTCTCCCTTCACGTATGTTTCTGTTGTTCATGGTGGGGGAGCATTTTATGTTGATCATTGTGATCAAAGGTTCTCCCCTTTCTCCCCCACCTCCCCCTACCCTTATGGTATCGCTACTTTCATGATTGTTCCTGAGGGGTTTATCTGTCCTGGGTTCTGTGTCGAGAGCTCTT